GCTGCTGCTGCTGGGTCTGCAGCAGCGCCGACGGCTCCCCCGACGACGCAGCAGCTGCTGCAGCAGCAGAGTGAAGTCCCTTTTGCAGCAGCAGTAGCTGCTGCTGCTGTTGTTGCAGCGCAGGGTCCGCAGAAGGAGCAGCTGCAGCATCCTTGAGCTGCTGCAGCAGCAGCAGCTGCTGCGCCACGTTCCTGTCGCTGAGCAGCTTCTTGTCGACCTCCTCGGCAGTCTGTGTAAACACCAGAAATCCTAAACCCTAAACCCTAAACCCTCACCAGCTAGAGCCCAACCCCGAGCAGCCCAAGCTCTAGCCCCTGGCCTTGAGCCTCGCCCCTAACTCTCAACCGCAGCAGCCCCTCTTCACCTCCAAACCCTAAACCCTAAACCCTAAACCCTGAACCCTCGCTAACCTTCTTGAGGCGGATATATGCTGGGATTCCATCTGGGAGGACTGGCAGTCTTGAAGCCTCATCTACAAGAGCCCACAATGCATCTGTCCTTGGCGCTTGGTTTTGCTGCAGCTGTAGCAGCTGCTGCGGCGGCAGCCCGCAGCGTTGTTGCAGCTGCTGCAGCTGCAGCTGCTGCTGCAGCTGCTGCAGCGCCGCCTCTGCCTTCTGCTGCCACGCGTCAACCGCAGCAACAGCAGCAGACACTGCAGCAATGCCCCCCGTCTCCACCGGCAGGCTTGAGGCCTCCACAAGCTGCAGCGCAGCAGCAGCAGCAGCAAACAGCTTCGCGCTGCGGCAGGAACGTGCAGCCAGAAGCAGCAGCATCAGCTCCTCGCCCAGCAGCGGCAGTAGCAGCAGGCGGCGCAGCAGCGGCAGCAGCAAGTAGCACAAGACACTCACCATGGCGTGGGCAGCCTCGAGGCTCGCAATTGGGTGGCCTGCTGCAGCATCCTGCACCTTTTGCTGCAGCAGCAAAGCCCGCGCATGCAGCTGCTTCACAAGACTTGCTGCTTCGACATCGAGCCCCAAGTTGTTGGCGCCGTCGACAAGAGCCATCCACTGGGCCCAGGAGAGCCGCTGCAGCTGCTGCTGCTGCTGCTGCTGGGGGTTCTGCTGCAGCAGCACGGCGGGCCCCTTGGTGGCCGGCAGCACCACTGCAGCACCAGCAGCACCACCCTCCGTCAACGTCACCTGCTGCAGCGGCCCCACAACCTGCAGCTCTCGAACTTTCTTTTCAAAGTCCAGAACTTTTTCCAAAGTTGTCCGCAGCAAATGAAGAATGGGAATTCCCACAACAAGGAAGCGTTTGCTGCAGGCTGCCAGCGGCGCCAGTTCCAGCTGCTTCGCCTCTTCCTCAGCAGCCGCGGGGCCTTCGCCCGGCTCCCCCTGCTGCTGCTGCTGCTGCTGCTGCTGCTGCAGCCGCTGCTGCAGCTCCTCCTGCGCCTTTATGCGGGCGTTGCACTTCTGCCGCAGCGGTTCGTACACCTGAACCATCCGCCACAGATGGGCCGTGTTGCGGTAGGCCGGGGGCAGCGACTTGTGGCTGCTCTGCTGCTGCTGCTGCTGCTGCTGCTGCAGCTGCTGCGGCTGCTGCTGGCGGTGGCTGGCCTTGGATTCCATTTCGATGCAAGCAGCAAGGGCCTCTGCTTCCCGTTGCCACGCACATGCTGCAACAAGTTCGTGAAATAAGGGCTCATACTGGAGGCCCCCGATGCCGCTGCTGTGCAGCTGCTGCTCCAGATCGAGCAGCTGCTGGTTGCTTCTGGCAACTGCTGCTTCTGCTGCTGCGTTGGCTGCCTCTGCAGCAGCCAGGACGGCGTCGACTTGCTGCAGCTCTTCGCGCAGTGCGGCGTCCCCGGCGGCGTCGCCCGCCTGCAGCTGCAGGAGCTGCTGCTGCTGCTGCTGCTGCTGCTGCTGCTGGAGCTGCAGGAGCTGCTGCTGGCGCTGGAGGAGGAGGTCGCGGCGGTGCCTGGCGTGCTGCAGCAGCTCGTGCTGCTTGAGCTGCTGCGCTGCGTCGCGCTCGGCCTGCAGCAGGGCCCTGACCATTTGCTGCTGCAGCTGCTGCCCTTTGAGCAGCAGCCGCTCTGCTGCAACGCTGCAGGGGACGCGGATGCGGGGGCAAGGCCTTGCTTCGGTGAGCAGCAGCTGGAGCGCGCGGATGGAGACGCTGGGGAGGGTCTCGGGCGGCGCGGCGGCTGCTGCTGCGCTGCTGCTGCTGCTGCTGCTGCGCAGCTGCGGCAGCGTCTCCGTGAGGAACCGCAGCGCAGCAGCCCACTCCTGCAGCCGCACCAGCAAACGCCCCAGCAAACTCAACTCTGCAACAGATCCCAATCCACATAAAACTCCTGTTGCCAGCAGCACAGAAAGCGCGAGGAGGTCCAGGGGAAGTCCTTCGTCTTTGCGGCGGCGCGTCCGGGTGTACATACACCCCAGCCCCTGCGGCAGCGCCACCACCAGTTCCTCCTCCAGCTCCTCCTCCGCCTCCGCTGCTGCTGCTGCTGCTGCTGCTGCTGCGGGGTCGCCGCAGCACACGATGCAACCCAGAAGACTGTCGTCCACGGCTTCGCCGTGTCTGCGCCTTTGCGCCGCCAGGTCTTCGTCGTAGTCCTCCGCCGCCGCCGCTGCTGCTGCTGCTGCTGCTGCCTGCTGCTGCTGCGCTGCACCGCCGCGAGACCCCACGAAGCCCCGCGGCCCCGCGCCCTGCTGCTGCGCCCCACGCCCGCGCCCACGCCCGGGGCCCCCAGGACGGGGGCCCCTGCTGTAGGGGCCCTTTCGGAGGTTTGGCTTCTTGGACATCAGCAGCAAATCCCTTGCAGAAGCTGTCCTTAGTGCGCCGCTGCGGGTTCTCGTGCTTCGGTCTGCTGCTGCTGCTGCCGCTGCTGCTGCCGCCGCCGCTGCTGCTGCCGTTGTTTTTCGGCCGCGCGCGCCCGCCGCGTCCCCCGGCCCTGCTGCTGCAGCTGCTGCTGCTGCGTCTCTCATGTCAACTGCGGAAATGTCCACTGGACGGACCACCGCCGCGTCTTCTTCTGCTGCTTCTTGGCCCATCTGGTCCATTGCCGCTCCCGGCAGCAGCAGCTGCTGCGGTTGCTCGTGCAGCTGCGGCTCTTCCTGCGCCACCTCAGCATCCGTCCGCTGGAGCTGCTGCAGCGCAGCAAAGCTCTCCTCCACTTCGTTCGGGTCTGCTGCTGACTGCTGCAGCAGCGCGCGCCCTTCCGCGTCAGCGGCGGCCTGCAGCGGCTGCTGCTCCTCTTGCTCAGCAGCAGCCGCCCCGTCTGCAGCAGCAGGCGGCACCTTCGCTGCAGCAGCGACGGCAGCAGCAGCTTCCGCAGCAACAGCCGCGTCCGACGCAGCAGCAGCCTCGTCTTCGAGCTGCAGCCGGTGCTGCCGCCGCTGCTGCTGCAGCTCAGCAGACACCCGAAATATGCAAGTGGGCCCCGGCATCTCCAGCAGCACTTTGAGAGCATCTCGGACCCAAAGGCGCAGCAAACACATGCGCTGCTGCAGCGCCTCCCGCTCCTGCAGCAGCACGTGCTGCACCGGCAAAGTTGCTGCTTCCCGCAGCAGCCGCAGCACCTGCAAGTGCAGCAGCAGCAGCAACACAGCCCGCGGCTGCTGAACCGCAGCACCCCCGGGGCACCGCAGACGCAACAGCGGCTCTGGCAGCACGAGGCCTCAGCAGCAGCAGCAGCAGCATCAGCAGCA